GAGTACAAGGAATAGAATATTCCAAAGTCTGTCAAAAGCACCACAAAATGACTTACCTCGAAGGTAATACTTACAAAGTCCATTAGAGGCGAGACTGTTACTGCGCATGTCATCCATTGACAGTGTCCCTTTAAAGTCAAGTGTGCTACATAAGACATCAACATAAGCATAGCAATAAGYATAAGACCAAGCTATTGCTCTCCCCTTATGATTAGAGTAGTGAAAACCAGGCTTAGAAGTTGGATTTTATATAATGGACTGTTTGCGAGATTGAATGAAATATTCATATTGTACATATCATGAGGTATATGATTTTTAGTTTGTCACAACTTATATTATAACAAGTTCTTGATACACAATCACTGATCTCATTGTTGTATTTTGTGTCTGTTGGAATATTATAATTATCTTAGAGTGAAGTCATTGAACCTGTGAAACTAAATTGAACTATTAAAAATGTGATATCAAATAGACACGATGAAAGAAAACGGTGCAATTAGAGCAATATAAGCGCTAATGTAATAGAGTGAAGTCAATGAACCCGTGAAATACATATTTCACTATTACATGTTATTACTTGATAAKTCCATTGTTTTCTTTTGTGTCTATTTGACTATTACAGTTTAAGTATTTACTTTTATTTCACGGGTTCAATGCCTTCACTCTATCTGTTTCACAGGTTTTATTTTACCTCACTCTGTTTGATACAGCTATTTAAAAAAAAAAGCATCGGGGAGAACGGCAATTGTCGAAGGGAGATTACGGTTACTGTTTTGATAAACAAAATTTCACTTATTGGATTCACCTTAGATAGAAATGGAGACTAAATGTTTACCACAGACCATCCTACAATACCAATCAGTTGTTATTACCTTTCAACTAGCAAAACCCATGGCTATTTTTGGCCGTGCAATCGCTGTCCGACCATTGACATTCTCCATTTTATCCGACAACCTTTTTTGAAATAGCTATATGCAACTCAAGCTTGAATGAACTCAATCAAATGGCAACTTGGAAACCTAACCAGTGAACCCTGGGAACGGCTGATGAATTCAATCAAAGGTCTGTTTAACGTACTACAATGTTCTTTAGTTGAAACATTTATTGAGTCACTTACACTCTAATACAATGAATGAGTTTTAACTATTAGATACATGCCAATATATATGTGCGTTTACAAAGGGTGTGTACATAGCCTGGTTTCCTATACATGATAACATTCTAATCACTAACCATGAGCATCCTAAAGTTAACATGTACGTGATACATAAAGATATAACTAAGATGTTTATACACTACAGTCTGGTAATTAAAAAAAAAAGTCAATCCCTGAGAATAATGTGACAATCAGGGGCCATGCCAAGAGCTTTCACACCACATTCRATCAAAACATTTATTTTGATAGCCAAACTGATATGAGTTGAATGTTGTATTTCACTAGTCTCAGTAACTGTGTTGATATCTCAGATATCATGAATGATATCTCATATTTGCGCAGTGTTTGTCATCATCAACTAGTGAATACTTTGCTAARCAAAAGAAAATATAGTTACAAACGTTTATGAATTAACACTTCACAGAAATATAAAGATGAAAAATTACGAAGAAATGTAAGGAAACAGAAACTARAATAGAACAAAAAAAGATAAAAAGGATTGCCACAACACCGACACTATAAAAGCATGGAAAGAAAAAAACATTAACTTAATAAGAAAGAATAAAACAATACAAACAATCAATATGTTGCGTGCATCAAGTTGTCCAACGCTTATAATCATTTCWGTGGATCATATAAGGAAAACAGACCTCTCATTTGCAACAAAAAAMGCTGCGTACAAACAATTAAACATCAAACAAGTCAGAATCACTCTTCATCACCGACCATAAGGTCTCAGATTTAAACTAATGAGATGGAAATAGGGAGTCATCATGATTACAAGAAGACGCTGCTAAGCAAAGTAGAACAGGCGTCACTCGAGTGAACGCGTAGGTACTGGGAAGACCACGTGGTACAGTATCACKTGGTTTCATGTACACAGCTGGTGGCGTGGTGATTCGTTTAGCTTAGTTGTTGCTGCTGATGCCTGAGTCGTTAGGCGATGTATTGTCTATGTGAAGGGCTCTTTTAAAGCTGGTTTTTAAGCAAAAAGGTATGTTTAAGAATTACTCTGATGTTTTAGAATTGTATTTTGACATTTTAATGTTGATAGTTAAGGTATTTTCTCTGTAATGCTTGTGTTTTTAAGCAATCAGCTCGTTCGAAAATTCGATTAGTTCAGCTTAATTTGCGCGCGCTTTATTTTTCGCTTTCCTTTCCCCGMTAAAATCTCGAAATTTGCCTTTCCGATGGTTTAAATCACTGAAGACGTACAAGTACATAATTTTTCTTTTCATGTAGAATACTTTATCAATGTGAGATCTAGTTTAAGCTAACAGAAGCTTTTCTTGACGAACGAAAAATCCAAGACGAAAAAAAGCGATAACGTGAGTTATCAAATGGCAGCGATGATTCGATTTTATAGACAAATCAATCGATATGAATAATAATCGATATCAGCTGAAGAATGATAACAGGATCTCCTTAACATTTCGACAATTTTTTTGCTTGCTGCTTGAAAATACACGTTGGCGTCCACATTGAAATAAATTCAATTAAGACAAAAAATTAACATATGAAAGATCTCGTCAACTGTGTGTTTCGCTTTGATTTTAGCGACTATTCAAAAGATTTCTTAATTTATCACATACATAACTTGATTCTCTTAAAACTACATTGATTTTTACACATTTTCGCGAAAAACTATGGACTTGAGTTCATATTTTTGGCTCCTACAAGCAAATAGAACAACGTGCTAATCTTTCTGTTGTTCAAATGAATATTCATATTTATAATGATAATCTTATTTCGTAATGATTTACTTGAAGAGAAACTCAGAAATCTAAGCTTTTCTTAAACGATTTTTCATCAATRCGATTATCGGCTTATTTGCAACATACCCGTTGAACTTTCAGGTCCAAAGCAGGTATCTGATATGCGAATTGACCCTTGTTTTTGTCATAAGTCATCACCTTGGTGACCTYTGGGACCCACGCAGGTGTTCATATGCAAATGCTAGTTTGCTGTAGAATTCAATAGATTCTTTCACTGCAAACTTTCTTAAGTAAAGATTTAGCCATTGTTTTCTTTTGAAAGTGATTCAGAGCATGTTTTGCCATGGAACTTAGCATAGCATCTTTGGTTTAATTTTGTTATTGAAATGTTACTTTTGGTACATTTATGAATTCAACTTTATAARACTTATAACTACAGGTTTATACTCTATTAACTATGATACAACATAGAAATTAACATCCACACAGAGTTCACTATGCAAATTTATTACAATTATTATTTAGAAAATTTGAATTTGTTTGTAGTCGACCTCATGGCTTAGCAAAAGATTTTTCCTTTATTGTTTGACATTCATTAAGTACTGCTTTGTGACAATAGGGATTACCTGTACTCTGCCCTTGAAAAAGTCAAATTAATGATGCTAGGCTGGTTTGATAAACGTTTTAAAAAAGATTCATATTTCTTTTTTGTGGTTGGTCTCTCTATTTATTTCTCAAATATTACAAGTATTTAATTTGATTAAAAATTATTGTGGCTCTTTGACTAGATTATGTTTATAGTTTGAGGACAATTAGAAGTAGTCCAATTGAATGTTGAATTTGCCTGCTGTATTCAGTAATTACAGTGTGATGATAATAGCGAAGCATAAACTGCTCTTGTCTTGAGGTTGCACTCAAAGAACTTTATATTGTATAGCTAAAACTAATATATGAATTATTTGTGATTTTGTGCTAATTTTAAGTGGTCTCTCATTGTAGGCATATTGCTTAAGTAAAAGCATTCTCACACATCTCAAATGACTAAGTTAAAGGATATCATTGTTAAAGAGAATGCCAGGTCCAGAAGGCAAGGAATTACAACTGAACTTTGATATACCAAAGCTAGAAACTATTAACACCAGAAAAAGTCAATTATCTCTTGATGTGGTATGTAAAAACAATGTATAATGGCAATGTCATATTTAAAACAGTGTTATTTTGTTTGATATTACCATGAGTATAAAATGTTGCAAATGCAAATATTATGAAAAAGTGATAAATGAAATGATTAAGTAAATGTGAATCTACAACTGAAATTAGTAATGAAAAGTAATGACATATACATTTGGTTTCAAGTTTTCAAAAGGAATAAGTAATAGATATTCTTTATGACTTGACTTTTTTTAACTGTTTATGTCAGTCTTCATTGATTTACTACGCATCTTTCTTTCATCTGCAAATACTGATTATTCAAAAAACATCGTAACTGAAATCTGTAAAAATGAGCATAAACTGGAAGGGTCTATTTTATGTTTTGGGATTTTTTTCTGTCCTAATGTCTCCATTACATTGTTCGCAAGCAAGAGTGACTTGCAAGGCAAATTGCAGCCATAGGTACTTCACACGACAGTGTCAAGTATGATTGGTTCCAGGTGACACTATCTTAGAGTGCTTTTTTTAACTCAAAACAAAACTAAACTAATTTAAAAATAAACAAATTTAAACTATAAACCCATTATCCAATTAATTTTCTTCTTTTTGCTCTTGGATATTTTCTCTCTTATTTTTCCTTCTTTTTCTTACTGGTGAAGGGAAGCCTACATTAGGCCCCTTCAGCACAAAACTTAGCATGTTCGTAGCTATCATGGGACACAATACCGGTCAAGTCTAAAAAACCTTTTACATAATTAAAAAAATTAAACTATAAACCCATTATCAAATTAATTCCTTCTTTTTGCCCTTGGATATTTTCTCTTATTTTTTCTTCATTTTCTTACTGGTTAAGGGGGAAGCCTGAAATTAGGCCCTGTCAGCACAAAACTGAGCACTTTCGTARCTATCATGGGATACAGTACCGGTCAAGCCTAAAAGCCTCCAGAGGTTACAATTTGAAGGACTACTGTGATACTARGTAGCTGTATATCTATCATTTCAAAGTCYGTTTCCAGTACAAGTGTAAAATGGGCTTTTCCCRCTGTAAGTTGGGTCTTGGGTTAYGTTGAGGCACTCGCTTTTAGCAATACKGGAGGTACTCCAGATACGACTCAAGTAGGCTCACAACAGGTTTATTGCACTTAAAAGGTCCTTACAAAAACTTTTTCAGAACTAGGTTAACTAGCCCTTTTATGATAGTGATACGTCACTCTATGTAAGACTATATTTACATAACTGGGCGTATTTCCCACAAGTCATAATATCTAAGATTTATGACCTTAAATCAACTACTAACTCTAATAAAAGTACAATATGAAAAATATAAGAAAAACTAAACATTATGAGAAACTTGGAAATGGAAACAAGAAAGTTATTTGAAACTATGAAACTGTTAATGTCGATGTCATCCGCAYCTAATTATCGATTACGAAATTCCCTTAAGCAAACAGAATCCAAGTGCGCATGACATCGGAGAATGTACAATCAAATATTAAAGTGATWAGTCCTGATCTATTACCGCAYGTACGAGGCGTTGTTTAAAGGTAATTAAAGATAATCAAAAGTTCCGAAAGAACAATTAGGTGTAAAACAAGTGTTTGTAAAACGTACAGGTTCAACTGTAAAGGTCAAATCAAAAGAGATTTGTAAATCCAATAAGTGTGTATCAAAAAGTTTTGGAGGAATTGTAAATGAAATATTTAGTAATATTTAGCAATATTACAGTGCCCCATCGCCAGATCGACGAACTCCTGTGAGTCGCGTGAGATACAAATGAGGACTAATGGAAAAAGGATATCATAAAGTATATATTGGTTGTTGTGCGCCTAAAAAATTTTTATAATGCTCGTGATTACATGGGAATAAATATTATAAATATTAAAGGTTTCACAAATATGTTAAACAGGAATAATAATATAAATAGAATACAGGTAGATGAATATAAAGTGTTCCCATTCTTGCTAAAAGTGTATAAACGTGCTTATGGCTATATCCATGGAAAATATTCACATATTTACAACTGAACCTGGGAAAGATCATCGAAACCATTGTCAAAGAAATACGGTTGTAATAACYGCAAATGCGGGAGAACAACAAAAGGCGGTTCGTTTGCCTCCGATTCCCAATCCTCCGGTTCAGCCTCTAGCGTAGCCTCTGGTGGAGTGGGAYGCGGATCCCAATACCGAAAAAYGGCACGGTTGTCTCCCWCAATGGGTTCGTCCTCCCAGAGTTCAAGAGAGTTCAAAGGAGCGCGGCACCTGGGGCAGATCAAAAGAATGAGAGAAGCCTCCCAGCGCSGCAAGCATGCCTCGTGAACCCAGTGGTCGGTTGCCTCAGCATCGTCCACCGGGTAACAACAAGGAAGCTGACGAAAGTATCCGTGCATCGGGTCCTGCTYCAGGTCCCCTGGSTTAGCCACGGGGGCCTCCCCACACACACAACAGACACGCGTACGCCCAGTTACTTCTGCCATTCTAYCTCTAACTCTCTCMCRTTGACCGGTTGGCTTGACTATTTATTGCGTGAAAATTTGTTCGAACTTAATAAGATAAAATAGCRCTACTTATATCGTTWCAATATTAYAYAAGTCAAATTATCAASCATTGATTATCATTTCTTCTCTTAATCTTCTCTCCCTTTTTATGTGGAGGTTCTTCAGAGTAGTGTATGCTTGCTTCAAGTTCCTCTCTACCTGTTTTTCTTTTCTTTTCTTCCGTTACCCTGTTCATGTGTATTTAGAAGCGTTTGAAATTGTGTGTTACTTCTATACACAATGCCAAGTGACAAGTATCGACCACCCATAGTCTCTTTGTTGACATACAGATTGTTTCATTTTGTCCATTTTGTTGTTCTTTATGAACCATTGAAAAGAATACGGATCGTAATTGGAGGTTATAAAAAAAGTGATCTTGTCAAAAGAGGATCAAGTGACTTTTAGCAACTCATCATTGTAAAGACTGAATAATCTTATCAATGTTATTGGAGAATATGTTGTGAGATTTGGCTTACTCAATAAGGACACCAAATGGTAGAATGTACAAGGATCGTTATTTGTCATAGCCGTACAAAGTGTACAAGATTCAAGAGTAAACTACAAYGTATATCTATTAAAGTTTCAAGTTCCAGTTAAATAAATGCCRACATAATTGTATTGAATATTCCACTAACTGACCATATCATGACCTATTGACTCGAGAACTCTTAATCTTAAGAAACCCTTAATTGGACGAATTAACTTACAAAACAATTTTGACAAAGTCTTGAGTATTTAATTTAAAACAAGCCGAGCAATAAAGACAGTCTTATTCAGTAGAAGATGGATAAATTCTGACTCAAAGTCTATAGCAAAACTTGATTGCTGAATGCAAAAGAAAAGATGGAAATGTGGTTCTAATTTGGAAGTGCCAATTTGACTTTAAATAACAAAAACGTCCAACTAAGTCCAAGAGGACAAGGGATCACACTGGAGAGAAAGACAATAATGTTTGGTCATACWGCTGGTTCACAGTTTTCATCTATCTAGCATCGTTTGAGATGTAGGTAGAACTTTTTTAGCCATAGTTGTAGGTTCTCGTCTTTCCTTCCATGAAAGGTGTCTAGGCGCGTATTTATCAAAAGTATTGAAAAAATCATAAAAAGATGAAAAGAATTAATAAGATGTCATTAAAAAGGTGTAATTATCAAAAATACKAAGATAAAGCATTCCTTTTCTTGTTATAAAAGTGTAGAAAAAATATGAATATATCAGTTTCTCTAGAATTCCTCTTCGAAAGCGAATGCTRGTGACTCCGAATTTATGCAAGAAACAAAGTAGCGAATAACAGGTTCTGGAAAAAATGTTAGGCAAATGTACTGCCCTAGCCTGACYCATGGACGCATCGAAAGTAAGACAAAGTTTTCTATTTGTTTGTGCTAAATAATCTACAATAATAAGCACTGATATTGAAAAACTGAGGATGGTCGATTTTGAGATAAAGTCTCTCTCAGTTTCTGGAGAGGAAAAGTGTGAAAAATCAGTTTACAGTGAGCCAGAACATAATTCCAAAGTCGGAACCCTATCAGTAAAATCAGTATACAAGCATTGGTGGTCACTGAGCTGTGTTAACATATGGAAAACTAAAGTAATATTTAGCAATATTACAGAATGAATAATTAATAAAATATTAATGAGCAATGAAAACAAATTTTTTTTAAAAATAGTTCATTCAACAAGAAATTACCATGTAACTAAATGTGGTTGTCTCTGCMAAAAAAAATAATTATTCAAAATTATTCAAAATTACATCTGCAAAAGGTCATCTAAAAGCTTTYGAGCAAAAACAAAAAGAAATGGCTTTTGTGCAGTGTTCAGATAGTAAATTGATTTGTTAGGTATTCCAAGATTCTATTAAATGACGTATTTTCCACAAGTTATAATATCAAGATATATGACCTTAGATCAACAAACGACGCTAATAAACGTACAATATTGGAAATATATGGAAAGCTGAACGAATTTGTTCTTGTATTCCAATTCTAAATTTAAATTAACAACTTCAACTTCAACTTACAATTTAAGTGTGGCAATTTGACTGGCAGTAACAAAATGGTCTAATTTAGTATGAGAAGACAGGAGATCACACTGTGCCGGAGAAAGACAATACTGTTTGGCTGAGAGGACATATCTTCTGTAAAACAAAGTAAAGATAAAAAACAAGGCGCAGATAGTCATAGCAATTAGGCGGGTCCTCAAACTCAGGGAGTTGAGAAGTGACACAGGCACTGTCAAACCCTAGAAAACCGCACAGTTCGATTACATTGATCTGATCCTCGTTCATAATAACAGTGGGAATGTTACCATGGATCAGGTCAACCAAGCATGGGATATCAAGAGGCCTATCATTGGGATCATGGAATGGTTTGAGTCTATTAAAATGAATTATTGCCGCTACGCATCTATTGTCATTACAAGTCCTTAGAAAATAATGGGATAGTCCTAAACAAGCAGCAATTCGAAAAGGCCCGTGCCACATAAATCTAAGTTTCTTAGATCATACGGGAGTAAYGGGCGTATAAACCCAAACTAAAAGAAAATGAACAAAGAACAAAGAAATGTACAATTTCACAATAAAACAAAACGCAGAGTAAACACATAAAGTTACGAGCACAACATGAATGAAAAACAGTCCGAAGTGAAAAAGGGGGAAAAGGGGATGACGCGCTTACACATGCAGTAACAACGATGATCATTAACCTTCCTGGAATCTGCTCGGGTATCTCCACCAAATGTAATGGGGCTAGGCTTTCTCAATAGATACAGCAAAGGTAGAACGTACAAGGGATCTTTATTCGTCGTTGAGCTTAGTACAATTGTACAGAACTCAGAGTAAAATACAAGTGTGTAGAATATAGGAAAGGGTGGCTTTTTGTATGGCCAATCTTGCTAAACCAGTTATTCTAAATGTCGTCATGATTATGTTGAATATCATTATATTAATATGTTCATTATCTGGTGATGACTTATTGACTTGTGAACTCTTCTTCAAAAGAAACTATTTGTTGACCGGATTAACTAACAAAGCATCAATGACAAAGTCTCAGGTAGTGATTTTTAAACAAACTGAGTAATAAGAATATAAGTCTTATTTAGTTCAAAATAGATAAATTCTGACTCAAAGTTCRTAGCAAACAAAACTTAATTGGTGACACTTATTAGATATTCCAGATATAAAATGTCCTACTGCTCATGCGTTAATCACTGGCCTGGTTTTTAATGACAGCTGAAATACAGAGTAGGATTTCACATCCTGACCAAATAGCATTCAGAGTATTGCACAATGGGTGATCATAAGTTTTGCACAATGTCAACAGATAACGAAYCATTGAAAATAATAACTAAGTTCTTACTGGCAACTTGACGTTGTTATGACAACTAGAATAATTTAAGTCGAAATATGAGATAACTGTTCATAGGCTCGTTACAATACCCCTCTTTAAAGTTCAAGCTGCTGCAAGAAGTATTGAAGGTAAAAAGAGATCCAATGTAGTTCAAGAGATATTTTGCTTCACCGTAAACCCATAAGAATAAATGCGAATAAATCCGAAAACAAACCCTAAWCTTGAATAAATTGATTATATGATACCAATACCGTAAATGCCAAGAGAATTCTTCTAGAACTTCTTAATGTCAACTTCTTWACTATCAAAGTTGATGTCATCCGGACTTAATTATCTATTTTGGAATTCCCTTAAGTAAGCAGAATTTAAGTGCGCATGACATCGGAAAAGATACGATCCACAATTGTTAAAGGGATTAGTCCAGATTTATAGCGCACGTAGGAGGCATTATTTGAAGGTAAAATAAAGATAGCCAAAAGTTCTAAAACAAAAGTGTTAAACAAATATTTCTGAAATGTACAGATTTAATGATCTGTAAAAGGTGATTAATGTGAATATGAAAAACATGTGAAAACATGAAAATATCAAACGAATGCTGGTAACTAAATTTACACAAGAAACAAAATAGCGAATAACAGATTCCGGAAAAATGTTAAGTAAATGAACAACCCTCGAGTGAACTATGGAAGCATCGAAAGAAAGAGAAAGTTTGCTGTTTGTCCATGCTAATAACCTACGATAATAAGTGCTTGCATTGAAAAACTGAGTATGGTCGATTTGAAGATAAAGTCCGGTTTCCGGAACAGATATGTACGAGTGTGAAAAATCAGTATACAATGAATCAAGTAGTTCATCCAAACAAAACTCRATATTCGAAATGCTATCAGTAAAATCAGTATATAAGCATTGGTTGTTGCTGAGCTGTGTGGACGACATGGTGTTTGTTTGTTGCTATGGACGGATTCTATGGATAACAAAAGAAAGTAAACAAAGGATTATTTAACAGCACTACTAAGGGTACACCTATAGTGTCATTTTTCTGAGCCTGCACCAGCGGTTATTCGCCAAAAAAAGGTGGTGAATTTTTAATTTTCGTATAAATTAGTATAAATTAAAAAAAATCCCGAGTTTAAATTGAAAAATGAAAACTAAATTTCATGGTTTCCTCCAAATATATATATATTTTTTTTATAGAAAAAGTTTCTCACGAGATTCTGGTATAAAGTGTTTTAATGGTACAAAAACAAATTTCAGATATAGATGTAAAAAACCCATCCGCTATAACGCGTTTCTTGATATTTCACACATTGCACAGCATTTTCCAAACACAGAGCATGAAAATAACGTCTCAAAATTCGGTTTCACACGTCCATACCTCGAGCGAAAATAAGTTTACCGCTTAGAGGGTCAAACCTTTATTTACCACACCCGTTATATATTACTTGCCAAAAAAAAAAGATTCTTTGWCCTGCAAAGCACACAAAATAGAAYAGAAAAAGTTTATCTCGGAAAAAATCGGAGGTCAGTGAAGAAGACATGATTTGATTTTAAAACGTTTTATTTTTCCATGTCATTTTTGATTTTACACTGTATCTGTTAAATATCTTGGTRATAAGTACTTGGTAATTTACTGTAACGAAAGCAAAACGAGAAAAATTGAGATGCAATTCATAAACCAAGATATCTGATATCTACCTACTTGCGGATGATGAAGCCATGATCAAATTTTCCACGAAGGAAATGATTCAACTCGCCCACTTATATATGATACGCTATCATGTAAATTTTGTTTAACATTTGAACATGTAATCCTCAGCTTCTTTGGGGAAAGCACGTCCCGGCAAGCTGCCAGGAAGGCTTCATTAAATGGACAGCTGTCCACATAGCCCATCACCACAGCATCAATCTGGGCACTACGTATAGAATTATGAAAATAAATTATATTGATAAATTATATTGGATCTCGAAATAGTTTCTCAAATAGGCTTTGAATTACTTACTGGCAAAGTGCAAAGGTGTCCATTTCAAATACCGATGCCCGCATGGCATGGTCATCAAAAATGGTTTTTCGGAATGGTAGTCTGATTTGTAATCTTTGAAATAAGARGAAAAAACATTGAGAATCAACACCACTTTGTTTAAGTATTGAAACATGGAAAAAAATGATATCTGATCTGATATCTACTTACTTTTGGATGATGCCATCTTTGCAGTTCCTACCTCCTTGCGTATGTTTGCACACTTTCCTGTCTGCCATATCAAGCGAAAAAAAAAACCAGGCCTGACAGCAAACATGAATGCACAAACAAAAACAGGTGCTGAAAATCCTCAACGAAAAAAGGTGCGAAAATACTTGCATGCTCATACAAAAGATAATAAAAAACTCAACATGACAAAAAAGAAATGTCGCTTCAAACCATTAAGCCAAAAGCTGACTCGAGCACAGAAAGTCAAAACATCTTTGAACGACTGAACGAAAGAAGGATAAAGCAGCTTCCCATTCAACCCCAAGAATCACCCCATTCAACTGTAATGGGGCTTGACTTACTAACCAAATAGACCAAAGGTAGAAGGTACTAGGATCTTTATTCGTCRTTAACTCAGTGTAAGGCTAAGATAAGTTAGAAGTGTCTTGAATGTAGGAAAGGGTGCCTTTTTATAAGACCAACCCTGTCAATCTAGTTATTCTAAATATCGTCATGATTATGTTGAATATTCATGATCTGGCCATGACGTGACCTATTGACTCGTGAACTTCTTGTTCAAAAGAAACTATTTGTTAACCRGATTAACTGACAAAGCGTCGATAACAAAGACTTAAGTAGTGATTTTTACACAACGAGTAATAAGAATATAAGTCTTACTACTATAGGGTACACCTATAGTGTCATTTTTCTGAGCCTGCACCAGCGGTTATTCGACAAAAAAGGGTGGTGAATTTTTAATTTTCGTATAAATTAGTATAAATTAAAAAAAATCCGGAGGATTTTTTTCCCGAGTTTAAGTTGAAAAATGAAAACTAAATTTCATGGTTTCCTCCAAATATTTTTTACAGAAAATGTTACGCTCCAGACAGGATGATAACGTGTTTTAATGGTTCAAAACAAAGTTCACATACAGATGTGAAAAAACCCATCCGCTATAACGCGTTTCTTGATATTTCACACATTGCACAGCATTTACCAAAACACAGAGCATGAAAATAACATCTGAAAAATAACATCTGAAAAATAACATCTGAAAAATAACATCTGAAAATAACATATGAAAATAACTGTTGGCGAGCACCGCTCGCAAAAGCGGTGCCCGCACGGGCTCGCCATCATCTCAGCTTTTTCAGTGTGACAATCTGCATTTGTATCTTTAAAATGAGAAAAAAAAACATTGAAAAAAAAAAAACACTTTTTAACTATTGAAACGAGGAAAAAAAAATGATATCTGATATCTACTTACTTGTGGATGATGAAGCCATGATGAAGCCAAATTGTCCACGATGGTTAATTCAACTCGCCCACTTATATATGATACATGTTTAACATTTAAACATGTAATCCTCAGCTTTTTTCCCCCGAGTCATTAGCAGCTCGTAATTGGAGTTTTTTGTTTAGTTCTGTTGGCATCAGATATCGCTGAATCTGCTCCATCACCAGATTTTCGACAGATTAAGACAGTCTTTTCAAGATGAAAAGAAAGAAAGATGTTTTTTGGCGTTATTTTTGCGATGTTATCATGTTAGCTAACGCGGACGCGAGTCACAAAACTATGTCATTCTATTATCTTTTTTAGTTAAAAGGTTTTCACACTTAATTTTGCCTAATGATGAAGGCTAATTATTTATTTTTCGTTTTTCAGTTGCCTTCTAATGTTTCCGTTGATTCTCTGGCTTCTGTCAGGACTATTGAYCTTCTGCCAGCGCTTGATGTTGATTCGGATCAACTTTTTGACCTCGGTAGAACACCATTAAATCTCAGTGAAATTGACATGGTAAGTCAGTTTTTTTTTTTTATCCTTTTACATTAAGTCGTTAAAAACTAGTTAAAAAGTTCTAAAAATAGTTATCGAATAGCTATAAAAGTTTTCATTCAAAATTAGAGTTCAAAACCATTCCTCTGGTTTTCTTTTTTCTTCATTTTGTGCGTTTTCTCTTAATCGGTTCTTTATTACATCTCGTTTAAATTATTCGTCATAATCCTCCGGCTTGTCGTCATCATTTCGTGGTGTTGGATAACTTTCCTCTTCTTTCTCAATTTTCCAGAAACCATAGTTTGTTTGAGTTTTTGCTACTGGATAGCATGATGCTAGATAGGGTTGTGGGTAAATATTCACCACCAATATCATATCTTCTGCTCTTGTACTTGTGTAGTTATATTTGTTAAAACGTCTTCCATATCCTAAGAAAATATCGAACGACTTTCTTATTAGGAGGGTGACTACCGTTGTTTTTCTTCTTCTATCGAGCTGAACACCAACACAACCATGAGGATTGTTTCTTCCTTCTTGAAGGGTTTCTTTTGCCAGCTCCCATATCATTTCTGNTTTTGCGATGTTATCATGTTAGCTAACGCGGACGCGAGTCACAAAACTATGTCATTCTATTATCTTTTTTAGTTAAAAGGTTTTCACACTTAATTTTGCCTAATGATGAAGGCGTGGGAAAAAAATCATATCATCAACCTATGATCTGATAATGATATTGACTTTTTGGTGGTTTTGTAACTATTTGAACCGTTACCATTTCCTTCTTTTCCTTTGACGCTTTTGATCAGGGTTTTGTTGTTTTATTTCCTCACTTTTTTGCTCGTTGGAAAGTGAAGAGCTATTTTAGTTCATCACGAGTTAATTAAGGACGCTGATGACATTTTTTTTCTATTCTACCTCAATTAGGTGAAATCATTCGCAAAACTGTTTTTCAACACTCAATGTTGGTCACCCAATTTTCCCTCTTGCTTTGCTTTTATTTTCATCGTTCAAGTTTAATTGGGAAATTATAGTTTTCGCTTGCCAAACTCAGTTGTTTCATCTGTAGAGGCACTCGCGTTATCTTTATAAGTTCTTTATTTGAATTGAGTTCTAACTTTCTATTTCCACTTGTTACGACTTCACAGCTTTTACTTCAACTTTAACTTCAACTGAGTTCAACTTCAACTGAACTAAAACTGCGTTACCGACAGTTTTGTTTAACGCATTTACACGTGACTTGAGACTTAGTTTCATCAGCGGTGACATAGTCACATGACTGATTGGAGATATCCCATTGGTTGCCAGGTATGGACTAGAACTCATTATGTGGTGTTTACTAGGTAAACACAGAAATCTTTGCAAAGGAAAATCTCTACTTTTCCTGGCACTAAATACTTAGATACAAAAGTACCTAAGAAGTAAAAATTAAAAGGTAAAAGATTGTAGTTTTGGTTTTTAGTGCCATTCGAAGCGAGAGGAAAAACTACGTACAGAAGGTGATTGCGCAGTTACGCTACGTAACTGTGCATTATGCATAAGTTAGGGGGAAGCTGCGAAGCTTGCATCCCCCAGGTAAAATCAATAAATAAATGAATAATATTGCACAATAATGAGTTCTAGAGAACAGCTGCTGGTGTTTCCCAGGAAACCAAGGTCAAATGCAATTAGTAGAGAAGTCGGTTTCCCTTTAGGAAACACCACAAAATCAACATATCTTTTGAGCAATCCAATAGGATATCTTACCATTACGGATGTCCACTTTTAAGTAAATGTTTCAGTGTGGGACAGCTTACCTAGTGTTAGCACTATCTGGAAAATACTATTGAATATATTGTTATCTATTGACTCGGCATGTTTGCCTTTGATCAAACATTTGAAAAACATGGTTAAACTGTAAATTGAAAACAAAGTGTAAATATTGATTATTCAGAACATTGGAAACAGAATATTAAAAAGTTGGAAAATACTGCCTTATGACATGACTCCCCCCCTTAGTAGCACTCGTCCTCGAGTGAGCTAAGGAGTGAAGTCACCAAAACTTGTGGAAAACCGTAATGACTAAATATGGTTTAATATAATGGAATAAAGAGTTAAGACGAATCAACGAATGCGAAAAAAAAGGGTCTCTGTCAGCGGGGCTGAGCTCCAAAGAATGAAGGTTCTGTTCCGCTGCGGCGGGCACGATGTTCAGCCCAGCTGACTGCAGGGGGCGATGCTGGGCGAGAAGGAGCCGACGAAGGTCGACGACGAAGACGATCAAAAATGTTATCTAAATCGTCGTCGTCGTCGTCATCATCAGTCGACGATGAGTCCCACTGGTCACCAAAGTAGAGCCGACCAGTGGTTGGCGTGGGAGGTGTAGGGTCGAATGCGAAGGCCCGAGCCGGGACATACACTCTTGCGGGTGGTGTGGGAGGGCGGGGGCGGGTGGTTCGGAGGGGAAAGGTGTGGTTATAAAACCTGA